CAGGTAGTCCGAAATGTACTGCTGATGATATAATAATAATAATAATTTATTATTTATACCCTGCCCATCTGGCTGGGTTTCCCCAGCCACTCTGGGCGGCTTCCAAGAAAACACTAAAATACAATAACCTATTAAACATTAAAACTTCCCTAAACAGGGCTGCCTTCAGATGTCTTCTAAAAGCCTGGTAGTTGTTGTTCTCTTTGACATCTGGTGGGAGGGCGTTCCACAGGGCGGGGGCCACTACCGGGAAGGCCCTCTGCCTGGTTCCCTGTAACTTGGCTTCTCGCAGCGAGGGAACCGCCAGAAGGCCCTCGGCGCTGGACCTCAGTGTCCGGGCAGAACGATGGAGGTGGAGACGATGAACAGAGTGAACATTTTGCTGTGCAATTCAACCCACATCAGGAAAGTTTGAGATGCCGTGCCAGTATTGTGACTTCTACTTGTGATTCGGACAACTTGTTCAGCTCAACTTGTGTAGTGTGGTCTGTTTCAGAAAATGTGGAAAGTTGTTTCCAGAGTAGTCATTGCATTTGCCCATTACACCCCGAGCCTATTCCAGAAGAATATGTAATATATACATCTCTCTACGGGTGTGGGGGCATGTTAAAAAAATTCAAGAGAGTATATTTTTTGTCACTATGTAATTAACATCTAGCATCCAGCTGGTATAATATTCCCACATTCTCAAATATATGAAAATGAGAAAACTTGTTATTGTAGCTAAAAATGCATTTTGAGGCATACATTCATTGCACCACCATCCCCATTTGTGCACAGGGAGGGAACTGATGCAATTCATAATGGTTTAGCACATTTTATCCATTCCTGTCCCAGTACAAATACCCCTGCATTTCCTGCACACGAATGCTTCCACTTTCGTGTTCCTCCCACCCACCCAAAGTTGTACCATTGGGCTATGCACCCATACAATTATTATTTAGCAATACATATTTAAAGGGCTGTCATATCGAAGATGGAGCAAGCTTGTTTTTTTCTGCTCTGGAGGGTAGGACCCAAACCAATGGCTTCAAGTTACAAGAAAGGGAGGGGCCTATGCTGTGATAATGAAGTAGATTGTGGCGATCACACACAGGGCCCCCGGACGTTTGACGGTCTATTGACCCTGTGCCACCACTGTGATTGCTTTTTCCACTGCCACCACTCTGTATCTCACAGGGACACACAGAGTCCAGTCAAGTTTATTTTTAAATGCAGGAACAAGCTTATGGTTACAAGTTAATTTTTCTCTTGTCAGTTTCTTATTCTTAGTTCCTAACAACTCCAAACTGATTATTCCAACTATCTATCTGACTCCACCTAACAATTCCTCTCACTCTCTCACAATACAACTCTACCAACCTACACCTAAACCTCCCTCTTCCTTCTTCAACTCCCAAACCTCAACTCTCAACTCCCAAACCTCAACCTCAACTCCCTAACCTCAACTCAACTGACTTTCAAAACCTCCCACTCTAACTTTTATTCCCCCCTTGCATTCTCACTGGCCAATCACATCACACTTATTTTAACCCTTTCCTTATGACCCATCCTAGGAGGCAAACGCCACATAGATCAACAGAGCTTAACTTGGTTTTGAAGTAACTTCTGTTTAACAATTTGAAAACTTTGCTTCTCAGCAAAGGAGCCTGATGGACAATGATAATGATGTTTTATTTATATGGATCAGGTCAATGTCCCATTGAGCCCAGCATCCTGTTCTCACAGTGGCCAATCAGACGTCTGTAGGAAGTTCGCTAGCTGAAGTTTCCAACGAGTTTGTTATCTCAGGTTGCAAGCTATGACTTTGTCCATGATAGCAAGGACAGTGAGCACTTAGTGGCTGGCAACTTAGCAATTTCTTCTTTTTCTGAAGCTAAAACCAGCATCTTAGGATTGATGGAGCACTTTGGCACCACTGCCCGTTATCTAACCAATGCAGTCTTAACATTTATAAGAGACTGGGGTAGAGGGTGGGCGTTAACCAACCCAAAAAGTACTTCACTCCTAGTTATAGCTTGAGCTTTAGGATCCTGCATCCTTTGTCATATTGCTGAAATGGCAAACATTCTTTACTTGGATAAGGATGAAATCCATCAATTAGCAGAGATAAGCATGCTATCACACTTATTTGGGCTATTCCTGTAAATCTTTCCTTAATGATCTATTGGGAACTGTAAAAAAAACACCACAATTGCATTTTCAATGACCGTTAATTTAAGTGATCAATTCCTTTAAGGAATACTTTAATTGCATACTGTAATACTAAACAAAGACAGCAACCTGCATCATAAGCAAGTGTGTGGCCAAGACTGTGCTGCTGTTGATGTGTTTGTTTGTTGTTGTTGTTTTTAAAAAAGTGGAAGGCTCAGGATTGCCAAGATGCAGGTTCAGACTCACCTTGAAGAAAATCCGCATAGTGACTGCAAAGCCAGTGAATCAAATGATAGCAGGAAGTTCCCTAAAGGGATTGCTGGAAGCTTCTCAGAAATCAAAGCATGGAGCATCACATGGAAATTAAAAGACAATTTCTTGACACAGAAAATTTAGGCCCACTCACTTGTCTTAGATGTTCCAGCTGTTAAAGATTGCTTCAGATATCAGAAGTGAATTGTGAATCTGTTTTTGCCCGTTTCCAGTTTTAAGGGGATGGTGGAGAAGAACTTGAAATAACTCCCTCATGGCTTCCTCTCTTGGATCTTACATAAAAAATGCAGAGACCCAAACCCCATTCAGACATTCAAAAGCCGTCAAGTAATAAAGAACTATTCTCTTTGGCAATCACTCGTAACCGAGTAAGATTGTCTTCCATAAACATGGTTTGAACAATGTAGGTGACTGTGGAGGCCAATTCTAGATCCACACGTCCTTCCACAGTGGGGACATTGGTTTCTGGGCAGGGGTTGATCATGATGCGGGTTTACCAAGCGTGCCTTCCTCTTAGCACGCTACTCCCTTTCGTCCTGAGCTTGAGGGTCTTCAAAGCCCATGACACCTTTGGTAAAGGCTGTTCTCCAATTGGAGCGTTTGCAGGTCAGTGTTTCCCAGTTGTCGGGACAGTAGGGACACATAACAAACAGGGGACAGGACCTTTCAGGAAGAAGAGGAGCATATGCAAACCACTGCATGAGGCAGTTACAGGGGCAGTTAGGCTGGTGAAGAGGTCCTCACTTGTTCACCTTTCCCTCTGATGAAGCACATAGGGATTTTTCCCTCCCAACCTACCTAAACTGTGAGAAATCTTTATCTGCCACACAGTTATGAATGTCATGACGGTCACCTTCAGGTCAAGAATTGACAAGTATGACAGCAAGTGAGAAGGAACAGAGTCTGAAGAGCAAGTTGTGGCTCTTTGTGCTCAGTGGCCAAATACAGCTCCACAGATGAAAGGTCTGGTGCCTTAAACTGGAAATAATATGGGCAATCGAGAAAATATTCCTTTCTCAGAGCGTGGACAAGGCGGGAGAGCCACATGAGGTTCAAAGGTCAGCTTTTTAATCACCAGTGCCTCTCCAGGCAGCAAAGCACCCAAGCTGTGCTTGATCACATAGTTCAGATTTACCATATCTGTTGTTTTGGATTCCAGCTCAGCCCTATCCATTACTATCATGTGTTACTTTGGAACATCCTCTAGACAACCCTACTTTGCTTAAAGGCATAAAAATGTCTTTTGCTGACTCATTAGGACTTTTTATCATCATTACTATGATCTTTAAATCATTTTTGCATGCAGCAAATTTAGAATTAACTTATTGTAGACGAATGACCATTAAGTAAGGGGGAAATTGCCTTACTTCTGTGTGCCTTAGCAACAGTGATTTTGCTCTCCTGTTGCCATAACAACTGCAGCCTGCACATCAAGGTCACCAAACCCACTTTGCTTTCTGCCTGCAGCTACATCTGATGCCTTCCCTCTATGCTTCCTTTTATTGTAGATTTCATGAAGGATGGCTTGTTAGGAAACACACTTTTTCCACCTGGCATGTAAAGCAGACATAGGAAGACGAGGGTTTGCTGAACCATATTTAAGCACCTGATGTCTTGAGTAGCACTGATATGGTTTTAACCGGGAAATGGCCTCAGGGTGGGTGGGGGAAGATCCTCAATTCAATATAATTCCTTTTAAAGTAAAGCACAAGCAAATCACATAAATCTAAACAAACAGAGATGGAAATTGAATTTGCAATTTACAACATGAAACGTTAAGTGTAGTTTCCCCCTCCAATTAAAACCATTAAATTATTCTCTCTACTGAACATTGGAAACTGCATTATACTGGCTTAGACCAGTGGTCCATCTATGTGGTATACTGAGTGGAAGTGGCTGTTAAGGGTTCCAGACAAGGTACATTCCTAGCCCTGCCTGGAGATGTTTGGGATGGACTCTGGGACCATCTTCTGCATGAAAGGCAGATGAACTATCACTGAGCTATGCTCCTTCTCCAAATAAGGGAGGAATCAGTGAGCCTTCCCTTTTATTTGGCTGTCTTGTTTCACACATTACAGAACATATGTTACTCTCTTAGTATAAACTGTTTCCTCTCAAATCACCTCATGTATGGGGGTATCTCATATTTGCATTCATTTTTTTAACCTACCATGGCACCACCCTGGCTTGGCAAGGTTCCATCCAATCCTTTCTCTCAGGTCAATTAGAATCTAGGCTTTTGGAGAATACAAATTCCCACTTTGAAAAAAATATTAGGTAGGTCTTTTGGAGAGCCAGTGTGGTGTAGTGGTTAAGAGCAGTAGACTCGTAATCTGGCGAACTGGGTTCGCTTCCCCGCTCCTCCACATGCAGCTGCTGGGTGACCTTCGGCTAGTCACACTTCTCTGAAGTCTCTCAGCCCCACTCACCTCACAGAGTGTTTGTTGTGGGGCAGGAAGGGAAAGGAGATTGTTAGCCACTCTGAGACTCCTTAGGGTAGTGATAAAGTGGGATATCAAATCCAAACTCCTCCTCCTCTTCTTCTTCTTCTTCTTCTTCTTCTTCTTCTTCTTCTTCTTCTTCTTCTTTAGCTAGTCCGAAGGATACACAGAACACCCATCAAACGTCATATGGGTGGTGTTTGGAACAAAGTGAAAACTAAGAAAATATCTACCAAAAGAGAATATTTAAATTATTAAACTGGGAGCTTTTCCTCTCACCCGCCCCTGCCTTCCCATCTTTCCACAATGGTTTGCAACAGCTCATCATGGATGTCAAGGTTTCCACAGAAGGAAGAGAGAAGGAAAGTGGGAAATGTATAATGTAAGGGTCTGTATGCAGCCAGCAGGCTCATTTGCATACGGTTCTGTGGAGAGGGAGTTGAGAGGGTGGAATTTTCAACTTGTGTGACAGTTGAAATGACAGTTACAACAGTTTTCCCTAAACTGAGGGCTCAGGGAGTGTGTAAGGGGAGCGTTACCTGAACACCTCAAAGTAAGAATGAAAACTCAGCCTCGCCTCATCACACTTCAATGCTGAAATTCAGGTTCATGCAATAAAATTGGCTCACGGGACTTTGGGGGACAAACAAAGGAAAGTACTTATTCGCACAACTCATAAATGGTTTGTGGAATTCACATCCACATGATGCAGTGACAGTCACAAGCTAGAATGGCTTTAAAGCAGGGGTAGGGAGGTTCAGTCACTGAGGTCATAGAGAGACACCCACCTGGTGATGCCACATGCCTGCAAGATTTTGTGTGGCAGCTACTTGGAAGACGGTATTCAGTGAGATGGAACCTACTTTATGGAACACACTCCCTTCTGATATATGCATGTGCCAACAGTTGATTGTTTTTAGCACATGTTTAAATCGCTTTTGTTCAGGCAAGCCTTTGGGAGTGGCAATGCTTCCTTTTATTCTGATTTTGTAGGTCCTTCAGTTACTTTATATTTATCTTTATGTTATTCTTTGTATTTTGCATTGTATTCCCAGTAGTGCTGAGGAGATTGTTCCATCAGCACAAGCATTTTTGCTTGTCCGACAGAACGATCTTCTGTCTCCTTCTTCCATGTGTCTTATTGGTGGTTCTCCTGACCTCCTGACCTCCTGACAATGACGTAATTGCTTTTAATAAGATGCAGACCGCTTGGAAACCCTTTGCATTAGTGGTCTATAAATTACTATCAATTGTTAAAATATATAATAAATAAATAATCTTCATGGGAATACCAGCTGCTGCGGAGAAACAGTGGGAGCTCTCTATTGACTTCATATCCTACCAGGCACTTTATGAAATCACCAGGGAAATAGGAAGCTGGGCTTGTTCTGATGCAGCAACGTTCATCTTATGTTCATACACGTAAAAGGTTTTGTCTTTGTTTGGCAGGGTGGGTGGGAATTGTTTTGAGTGAGTGACTTAGAGTTTGGTGCAAGTGCTAGAGGTCAGGGCCCACTAGTACACATCCAGTAATGTTGAAGGCCAGACGCAAAGCTTTTAGTGGCTGCGTTGCAGCTGATAGTTGCTTGAATGCTACAACAGGCTGTAAGCGTAGATGCCAACTCAGGCCAAGGCTACTAAATGTGTTTAAAGTAACAAACCCATCTCTATAAAATTCACTCAGACAACATAGGAAACCCTAGCACAAGCACATGGCAGGAACGTAATGTGGGGTCTACTTAATAATGGAAAATCCAGAGAAAGGGTTCATGTATCTTCCACATCAAATTTTAAATCTATTTCTTTGCTATTCATTGGATAGTTTATCTTAGCTTATTTGAATTAGTTTTTCTTCTGGATTTATGAACGTTCTAGAAAGGATATCTGTATATGTTGATAACGTGTTAATAGTATTTTAAAAAATAATAATGTATCTTACTAGGCTTTTTAGAGGCATTTTTCAAAACAAGACTCGAGGCAACACACAGAGCATTTAAAACATGCAGAAATTTAAAAGCAAATCAACGGCCTACAACAATTATCATGTAATACTAAAACCACACACCCCTATAAAAATAACCAGAGTCATCAATAGCAACAGTAACCTACTAACAAAATGCTGATCAAAAAATTGCAGCATTCAGTTGCAGTAATTTCTGAAGGACTTGGCTGAGTTCAATATGAAAAATATATGCTATGATAGAACCAAACTCCAACACTTTAAAAAGTCCCATTGACTTCACTGGGGGAGTTAATTCCATGCTTCAGTTTTTACCACGGAAATCAATGGGACTGAATATGTGGTGTGTACACAACCAGCACAGTGTCAAGAAGTAGTTCAATGACCAAGTAATCAAACAAAAAATAGCTGAATGGCTAGTTAAACACCTTTTCATATAGTTAGATGGTAATTAGAATTGATTTATGAACAATAGTTCAAACTGCCTAGCCAAACTACTTTTGGTGATGATTGACTACTACAGTTTAATTACTCAGAACAGCAATTACTTTCATTCAGGTGGAAGGGAGCTAATATTTAAATTATTCATAATTTATTATCATACTGAAAACTGTGGTTGAAATCCAGTGTTAGTCATGCTCAGAGAAGATCCAATGAAATCAAGTGACTTAAGTGAGGTCTGCTCTGGGTATATTACCAGATATCACCTTGTATAAGAAGAATACAGGCAAATTTGCAGGTACCAGCAAAGAGTCTTCCATAGAATCACAGAATTGTAGTGTTGGAAGGAACTCCAGGGATTCATCTAGTCCAGCCCACTTCAATGCAGGAATCTGAACTAGATCATACACAACAGATGACCATCTAACCGCTGCTAAAATGCCTCTGATGATGGAGATCCACTGTCTCCCAGGGGAGTCTGGTGAACAGTTCTTATTGCACACCAAGGCACCCGAGCCACAAAGTTCCTAGGAGAACAATAAATCACACTGACATTGAGTATTTTGGTTTATGGGTTCAAATAGGCCACAACTTTATTGGTTACAGATGTGAGCGGTTTGGCTTAGGCATTGGGGTGAAGCCAGGCTATATCTTGACTCCTGCCCGTCTGCAGAGAGTCCACTTAAGGGTAAACCACCGATGGGGGTGCCCTATGACTTACATCAAATAGGGACACCCCAAGGGTCCCCATAGTTCAGGCTTCAGACAGGATTCACACCCCAGATCCCTTTAACAGGATACCCTTACTGAGGAGGGGCAGACGAAGGCCTCCACTGTTGAACAGCTCTTACCATCGGAAAGTTCTCTCTGGTGTTTAATTGAAATCTCCTATCTGTATCTACTAAGAAATAAGTCCCATCAATACTGGCCCAGTTGTGCCCATTTTCCTCCAAGGATGGGATGAGAAATCTCCTAATTTAGCGTAGTGGGGAGTACATTTTCTTCATGCTTATCTTCACAGGGTTACTCTCATTCCCATATCCCGAGATATCATACTGAAGATTGGCCCATTGACTGATTGCCTGCCCTGCTCCGTTTGACAATCAGATAATGTTTCCCTTCCTTTCAGGCTCTAAAAAACAAGTCTTTTTCGTGACATATAAGAACATGATTTGGGTAATAAGAAAGAGCCTTCAAAAGCTTTTTGCACATTCCACTTCAGGGCTTCTTTTATTCTGTAACAAGTTTCCATTCTTCAGACACCACATTACCAGCCTCACTTAAACAATCCCATTCTGCATTAACAATTACTGGGCTCTTTGCCTTCGTTAAGAGGAACAGCTAAAAATGAAGGGCAGCTTTCCTGGCTGCCTCCACATGCTCGGTTCCTCGGTGGCTCATTTTGTTACATGGAGGGGCCTCCTGTCTCTGCAGGTACGGTGATTCATAGCTGCTCCCAGAATCTACTCTGAATGGTCTCCATGACACACTGCTCATTCTTATCTGCCCCGTCTTGCTGCCCTATGGACTTCTTCTAACTTGACAACAAAATGACAAGTGAAACACCATCATTTGAATTCTCACTCCATTTATCAAAGCCCTCTTCAGGTATTTGTTTCTGTCCCGTGGTGACAGGCCAGCTAGCACAATCCCCTCAGCAAAACACCAGCAATGTCCATCAGCTGATGCAGGATTGACACAATCTGAAAGGAGCTACCTCAACATATGTATAGTTTCATTCATGGGGTGGACAGGAATCCTGGCTAAGCAGAATGAGGCAATCAGATGCCAGCTAGGAGCGTGGTCAGTGCAAGTGTGTTGGCAGGAATCTTACATACAATATGCTAGCATTCTGTGCCTTTGCAACAACTGTTGGATGTGTTGGGATACAACTCAGCTTGCGCTGTAGGCGAACATATCTGCATGGGAAGAGTAGACACAGAAGAACCTCCAAACCTCCTAGACTATCCCACTTGTGCTGACCTCTTGCTCTTCCTTCAGTGTTAGACTGATACTCTCAGGGTTGCTAGCTTCTTTCCTACGTCCTGCTTCTTCATCCTCACCTTGGGAGAGGAAGCATCTTTGTGTGTTTCTCCTGCTGAGATGAAAGAGCAAGTGTGGCTCTTTGCATCTTAGTTACATAGAACTGGGATCTTTCTTATCAAGTATGTGCTTCCTGCAATAAATAAATATGTCTTTTTTCTTTACTAATCTCATTCTGATGGTAAAGTGTGCTCCTCCAACAGGGATTGGGTGTTCTGTTCTGTTCAGGTTCTGAAAGCACCAACAATAACCTCACACACAAAAAGCAGCACTCTTAAATTCATTTTTTCCACCTTTCAAAGCATATTTCTATACTTTCTCGGAAATGGGGGTTGAGGAAAGATAGACAATGCCTTGAGGAAGAAGAGATGCTAAAGAGTGCTTCCAGGGCTCAAGGGGTGAAACTCTTCTCAACAATTAGCCAAACTAGAACGCATCTAATTTGCACAAGCTATTTAGAGTACAGATCTCAGCCTTACTTGGCATAGAAAAGGAAATGTGTTTTTGTGTGTGTACAGAACCCGCAGAGGTGGGCATATATCATTTTGCACAGAAGTTAAAGAAAATGCATTTTCTGGCTCAGTTTTGCAGGTGGTAAAAAGGATATGCAATTTTCCGCAGCCTGATCTTATTTGGTGCTATCGCTCCAAAGAGGTATATCCTGGTAGCATCTCCAGGGCAGCTTGCAGCATCGGTAAGCTTTTGTTTAGACAAGTCTTTATAAACATTCTTCACATAACAATGAAAACGTAAAAGAGGCCCAAATGAATGTGTTGCTGTGACTGGTTTGTGGAACAACCTTGCTAATGTGGCAGCTCGTATAAAATATTTATAACCCACAGAGTACCATCTATTACAGCATGCAGCAGAAGAAGGGGGAAAAAGAGAACAGCATCATCAGCTTAGCATCTGCACACTCACTGGTGTCTGGAGAGAGGGGGATATTTTTAAATCAAACAGGGATCTAATGTATGCGACTGTCGGGTGAATTTCTTCCAGGTGGATGCCAGAGAAAGGGTGTGCTGGCAGGCATGGTTCAAATAAGATAAGTCTCTCTCTCAAAAAAGGGAGAGGCAACAGCAACAAAGACAATCCATGCATTTGTTGGACTACAACACCCATCATCCCTGACTATTGGCCATCCTGACTGCGGCTGATGGGAATTGAGGTCCTCCAGGAGGATGAGCATCAAGCTGTGATGAGATACAGGAGGCAGGTGGAGGAAGATACATCTCGGAGGAGGCAGCGATAAAATGAGTATCAGTCCTTGAAACATGAAGCTATGGCTGAGAAATAGGTAAACAGGATAAATTTCAGTTGACTTATGAGTACACAAGCCATAGGCCAGGGCATAATTCAACCCGCTACTCACATTCTCTGTAATAAAACTACCCGATATTTCAAGCTGCCAGCACACAATACACACAGTCTTCAAAGGAGCATATAATCAAGAGTCAATCATATTCTTAAATAATCATAAAACAGACAGCAACGATCAGATATCCAGCAAGCGAGGTCCGTACACAGAAGCAGCCTTCATCGCACAGAGCCACTGTGGGGGCTAGCGATGCTCATCTTTGCCCCATTCAACTGACTGAAGGATAAGGGGGTCAAAAAACAATGTAAGTTGCACAAAGGGATTCAAACCGAGGGAGGTATGATGCTTCAGCCGGTACAAAAGGTCAAACCAGTAGAACCAGTATTCAGAATTGAGTGGAACCAGTGAAAGCAAGCCAACTCATAGGGAGATTAAATGAGAGGAATTGGGGATAGCACAATGTATTAACCGAGGCTCCCTAAACCCTTTAATTTTTCCTGTGTGTGTAATGGGTTGGGTTGGGCTTCTAAGGAGACAATGCCACCCCAAAGGGATATTGTATCCCCTAACTTTAAAGCTCATTTCAGGTAATATAATTGTGAGGCGATGGGAAGTTTATCCCTGTCCTTGTTCATGATATTTCTGCACCTCCACAGACGTTCTAATAATAATAATAATAATAATAATAATAATAATAATAATAATAATAATAATAATATATGGAAAAAAACTTGTTTATATCCCGCCCTCCCCAATCAAAGCCGGGCTCAGAGCGGTTAACAACAGTAAAATAATACAGCTTTCTAAAATCAATTCATTATAAAATCAGTTCAAATCAAATTAATGGCAACCATTGGGCTAGAGTTCTGTGAGGATTACCAGAGGGGGTCAGGCTGTGCCTTGGCCAAAGGCCTGGTGGAACAGCTCTGTCTTGCAGGCCCTGCAGAAAGGTGTCAAGTCCCGCAGGGCCCTAGTCTCTTGTGACAGAGCGTTCCACCAGATCGGGGCCACAGCCGAAAAAGCCCTGGCTCTGGTTGAGGCCAGCCTAACCACTCTGTGGCCCGGGACCTCCAAGAAGTTTTTGTTTGAACACTGTAAGGTCCTCTGTGGGACATACCAGGAGAGGCGGACCCATAGGTACGAGGGTCCTAGGCCGTATAGGGCTTTAAAGGTTAAAACCAGCAATCTATAGCAAGAGATTTCTAAAATTCTGAATACAATGCAGCAGCAGTTTTAGAAAAAAGAAAAAAGAAATACCTAAAAATAAAGATGAGCCTTATCTGGAAAGGACCGAAACATTAATTGCAATTATTTCAAGAAATACGGTTGTTTCCACAGTGATACTCACAGCTAATGAGGTGGAGATAAATTAAGCCCCGGCCTGACAGATCTTTTACAGGGGGAGGAACATCTGGCATTCAAGAGCTACACCAATCAGGTCTCAGATTAATCTCTGCAAAGCAGCACGTTTCTCCCTTGCTCACTCTCTCGCTCTCCAGTCATGACTGCTGGTTCAGAAAATAGGTTGTTGAGTGAGCCACTGCAGAAATCTTCCTGTCATGAAGAACTCATTAGGTCAGCAATAAAGTGATTTATCAAAGTTTTGGATAGCAGCCACCGGCTTTGCCTGTACAACAGATTCAATTGTGGTGCTTAAAAGCAAAAGCTTTACAAATTGCCATTATAATCTCATAAGTATGCCTCCTCCATAGACAGGTTGCTCCTGGCCACTGAAGTGGACCAAGCAATACAATCCTTCTTGACCTCTATTATGCATTGTCACCCATCCAGATGTGATCCATCAAGCTAAGTATTCATATTTCAAATTCTGATGAAAGGGAGATTGTGCTGGGGGAGTTCCTACAAGGCAAGAGATACTGAATAGCATATTATTACCTTCTCTCGAATGAACAGCATTGCTAATTTTTTTTGTTTTGTCAAAGGCCTGTAAAGTATTGAGGAAAGGAACAGAGAAAGCATACAGGGGAAAGCTCAACCACAGGCAAATATTCATTTCATACACATAGAGAGGCTTGTACACAGAGAATATTTGATTTATCCTTTGCTACAGAAGCACTGCATACAGCTCTGATGTCCCATATTCTCCCAAGCTGGCAAGAGATCTGTGTACCTTTAACACATATACATGCATGCATACAAAAAACAAATTATGAAGTGAAGCACATAGCCCATCCTAGGGACTTGCACACGCAGCACTTCTTAGGATTGGCAAAGGTGAAGTGCTCCTTTCCTTGGAAGGATGGGTGTTTGATTGACGCATTCATGTCCAGCATCTCAGGCAGATGCACAGGATTATTTGTTCCCAAAATGTCAGATCTCCACGGGTCCCAAACCTTGAAATCCAGAAGCCCTGCATTTGGTTGGTAGCAATCTGCCATAAAAGGGAGCTACTGGTGCCTTATGCCTCTTAAGTTCTCCTCTTGCGCACCTGCAAGGCATCTAGCCAGGAGAAAATACTGCCACCTGCTACATGATGGGCCCAGGCTGATTGAGCTGTTTCGTCATGACTAGTGGGTTTTCAGGTTTCTACGGAAACTTGCTTTGCTCTTAAATCTGAACAATTCTTACTTCTTTGTTTAAAGGCTTCTTTAGTTAAAAGCACGCTGTGTGCAACTGCCATCTATGCCAATTTACTTCCCCCACCTATTTGGCTGCCTGCTACAGTTCTGCACTGCTGTAGGCTCTGTTTTCTTCATTACACCTTGATAGACACCTCTTGTATCTGAACCTTTATAGAATCATAGAATCATAGAGTTGGAATAGACCACAAGGGCCATCGAGTTCAACCCCCTGCCAAGCCCCTGCCAACCCTTTAGTCTGATAGGATCAGGGCATTAAGAACTTGCAGGTGCACCAACCTTTGTACCTCATCAATGGAGAAGGTAAAAGATAAAGGGACCCCTGACCATTAGGTCCAGTCATGGTCGACTCTGGGGTTGTGGTGCTCATCTCGCTTTGTTGGCCGAGGGAGCCTGTGTACAGCTTCTGGGTCATGTGGCCAGCATGACTAAGCCGCTTCTGGCAAACCAGAGCAGCGCACGGAAATGCCGTTTACCTTCCCGCCGGAGCAGTACCTATTTATCTACTTGCACTTTGACATGCTTTCGAACTGCTAGGTTGGCAGGAGCAGGGACCGAGCAACGGGAAATCACCCCGTCGCAGGGATTCAAAACGCCGACCTTCTGATTGGCAAGCCCTAGGCTCTGTGGTTTAACCCACAGCGCCAGCTGCGTCCCAAGTGGGTGGCGCGTCTCCATTTCATCAATGGAGAAAGTGGAGAGCATTTCCAAAAGCAGGCCAATGCCCTTCCAGAGAGTTCCATAGTAGGCACAACCTGGATAACCTTGAAGGACTTTGCCCATGGTCCACCTCACACAGCAGAGTGCCCCTCATGCTTGCCTTTCCTCCGACCCCCAGGTGAGAAGACAGGAGGGTGGAATGAAATGTCAGAGATGAGCCTCCAAACACATAAATGCTCAAGAGAACCTGAAAATTAGTTAGAAACCATCTCACCCATCCCAATTGTTTAATGTCAAAGGCTTCAGAGGCATAGATTCAATCAACAAGGAAGAGGAAGCCAAGGAGTAAATGAATTAGAAGTCACACCTTGCCTGCCATTTTTCTTCCTGGGGTGAGACATATCATAAAACATTTACAGTTTCTTTGGTGCTAGCAATCAATGTAAAGTGCCATTTGTATACAGCTCACATCTTCCCAAACTAGGGGAAGCCCTGAAAAACCTTCCTAATGTCAAGCAGTAATTGCATTTTTATAACATTAATCACCTTTTATCATTACTTTTCAATTTGTTGAGTCAAATGCCACATTTGCTAGCATTAGGCTTCTGTACTGCCTCTGCATTAATTACACAGACAGATTGAATTTGTTACCATGTTGTTAAGACCCAGCACATAAATAAAAATAAGTGGACTTCCTTTCTCAAGGTTCTAATAATAGGTTAGGGCAAGACTCCGATTAGTACTTGTCACATCATCCAAAGAGTATGATGAAAGCTTCTGGGGCAATGGGGGGAAATGGACTGTGAATTCAGAAATTATTCCTGCCACCTGAGGCAGTTCCTGGTGCACTTGAAAGACAAGGGTGGGGCAGTCATTACTATAGCAGGGCATCTGGCTGCTTTAGCTCTTTGGTTCCAGGCTTCTGGGGTGAAGAGCTTCACTGGTGACTTCTGTGTTAAGAAGATGTTAGAAGGTTGGGACAAGGCGTTCCTGCCTGTCCCTGACAAATGCAGACCTATCACACCCAATGTCTTAATGCTGCTTCTGCCTCAATTCTAGTTCCTTTGTTCTCCTTTCGCAGTTGTTTTCTGCTGTTGCTTTGGTAGCATTTTATGG